GATTCCTCAAACCTCCGGGATCTGAAGCACATCTCCTCTTCTCATACACCCGGGTTGGGTTCGACCCTGCCGTACAGGTTTACCCTGATGAACACTTGCTCCCTTGGCAATAAATTGTTCATTACTAAGGATTATTTTATTGACAATAACCTGGATTTCTCTCATAACGGAATCTTGGATTGCTCCTGATGATTTAGCTACTACTACTGAAACTTTACCTGCTGATATTTTAATAATCCAAGAACAACTGGTCGTGGTGGTGGTCTTTTGACCATCTTCAAACGGTCTATTGCTTGTAAACCCATTACCTTCCCTGATTTTACCAGCTTTGAGTTAACTGCCTTTGAACTGTGTTCTTCGCCTCCTGTTCTCTGTGCCTTGCTGTACCGTGCTCCCAAATACAGCAAAGACTTTATAACCCAGTTTTCTGACATTTTATCTGATATTTGTTCACACTATGACCGTGATCTTATCTTAGGTGATTTTAATATTCATGTTTGCTGCCCCGAGAAGCCTCTTGTGGGAGAATTTTTAAATGTTATTGACTCTTTTGGCCCGGCCCAGTTGGTTAATATGCCAACACATGAACACTCTCACATCTTGGACTTGGTTCTCACTCATGGCTTGAAGATCACTGACCTGTTTGTTGATACTGTCCATATTTCAGATCATTTTCCAGTTTTGTTTCGCCTTCATAGATCCAATGCCTCTAATTAATTTAATGCCTGCTCGCAGAGCCCAATCTTTTACTCCATCTACTGCAACAGAATTCTGTACTTTATTCACTGATCTTGTTTCCACTTTGCCGGTGTTTTCCAGCACTGATGATTTGTTGCACTTTTTTCAATCTTCCTGCCTTACTGTGCTAGATCAGATAGCTCCTATGAGAACTAGACGCTCTAAAGTTCGGTTGGATCCCTGGATCAATGCAACTACCACATCTGTCAGGAGTGAGTGCAGAAGAGCCGAGCGTAGATGGAAAAAGGATAAGCTGCAGATTTCATACCAAATAATGATAGATACCTGGGCTCGTTACCAGAAAGTAGTTAGAGATGCCCATAAGAAATTCTTTTCAAATATTATTACTGCATCCTTTGGCAACCAGCGTGTCCTGTATCAGACCCTCAATGCTGTTCTTTCAGCCAGTGACCACCACTCTCTTACTACCTTAGATGCTCAATGCACTCAATTTTAGAAAAAAATTTCTAGGGAAAATTGCTAGCATCCGGGCTCAGATTTCTTCTCCCTATGTCTCTAGTTTTCCAGAACCAATCCTGCATCGGTCTCTTGATAACTTTGACTTACATTCTTTGTCCTCTCTTGAGAACCTCCAGTCTGCCTTGAAGCCGTCAGGTTCTCCGGTTGACCCTGTCCCTCCACACCTCCTTAAAGAGACATATTCTGTCACTGGCCCCCTTATGCTGAGCATAATTAACAACAGCTTATCCACTGGTGTTGTACCCCTTGCTTTTAAACATGCAGTAGTTCAACCCGTTCTGAAGAAGCCTGGCCTTGACACCTCTGTTCTGAGTCATTTTCGCCCGATCTCCAAGCTTCCATTTCTATCAAAACTACTAGAGCATGCTGTTTTTAACCAACTTATTTCTTACCTTGATGATCATGGTTTAATGGATCCCTTCCAGTCAGGCTTCCGATCCCTCCATAGCACCGAGTCAGCTCATCTTCGTGTTTTTAATGACATTTTATTAACCCTTGACTCTGGTTCTAATGTATTGCTGGTTTTGTTGGATCTATCTGCTGCTTTCGACACGGTTGATCACGCTATTCTGCTGACTCAACTGAACCAGCTGGTTGGCATCCAGGGGACTGCCTTAGACTGGTTTAGGTCCTACTTCTGTGACCGCAGCTTTAATGTTATGATGGGTAGTGCTGCCTCCCCCTCTGCAGCTTTGACTTGTGGTGTTCCTCAGGGCTCAATTCTTGGACCCCTTTTATTTAATTTATATATTTTGCCCCTGGGTGACATTTTTAAAAAACACCAAATTGACCACCATTTATATGCAGCCGATTGCCAATTATATGCCTCTGTGAAGCCTAATGACTCCTTACAGCCCCTTGTTGAATGCTGCAATGATGTGAAGAGCTGGCTGTCAGAAAACTTTCTTTTGCTGAACGATGTCAAGACAGAGCCTATCATTTTCAGCCCTAAGACTTCTCAAAGTCCTCAACTGACAATTCCTTTTATCACAAGTGGGTTGAAAACCCATGTCACAAACTTAGGGGTTGTGATGGATGCTAAACTAAAAATGGACATTCATATCAACCATGTAGTAAAGACCTGTTTTTACCACCTGAGGCTTCTCTCTAAAGTTAAGCCCATTTCAGTTGTCCATAGCTTCATTACTTCCCGTCTCGACTACTCCAACTCAGTGCTACATGGTATCTCCTCCTCCACTCTCGCCCGCCTTCAGCTAGTGCAGAACGCAGCAGCTCGATTCTTGACTGGCACCCGGCAGCGAGAACACATCACACTGATTTTAGCAGTGGCGGGTGGTGCATTCCACCCCTGGGCCTTCAGTGATTTCCTATTCAGTCCAATCTAAATTAACACACCTTAAAATACCATCAATAGGACATCACAGCTGGAGAAACCTCACTCACACACACACACACACACACACACACACACACACACACACACACACACACACACACACACACACACACACACACACACACACACACACACACACACACACACACACACACAAGTGGCTGGGCAAGACGTCATTTCCGGAGCCTTTAAAATCAAACTCGCATTCCCAATTGAGAGTAGGAAACTAAGACCACGGATACCGTCAAATCTCAAAAATGAAAGATGGGTTTAAGAGATGAGACAATAAAATAAACAAGTAAAGCAAACACATTATTTGCATTTGTTTTGGAGAAAATTGCACCGCGAAACAATTGAGCATTGGCGCAGCTGCGCACACCACGTTATACACAATATAAATTGCATAGAAACAGAACACATAGAATTATTTCATTTAGCCATTTTATTTCGTTAACATTTATTATTAACAAAATGAAATGACAAAACATTAAAAAATACTTTCTACTCACCAACATAAATGTCCAGCATGGATCTCCTCCTCTCCTGCTCATTTGAAAATAAAATCCATCCGTCTTTCTTTCCTCAGGAAAACCTCAGTGGCTCTGTACAGTTTATCTGTGTGCTTCAGGTCCATGAGTGGACCCTTTTCTACGGACATGGAGGCTAATGCTGAAAGACGTCTGTCGGGTCGTGTTTCTGGCGTACGTTTTAACGCGCTTTAATGCTACCAAATCCATCTGATGCGAGCAACAGGCATTCCCAGCAGAATAACCTGCAGCGGTTCTCTGAAGCTGTTTGCCATGGGTACCGTTCATAGTTGCTTGCCTGAAAATGACGAAACAAATCCTGTCCCCTGCTGGGACAAGCCAGCTAGCATTGGAGTCGGACGACCTGTTCTCACAATATCAATTTTTTCTTGAAAGGTCCGTCTGGAAAATGGTGTGGCAAGTTAATCTGCAACCAAGTCTGTCTCTTCTCCTCTTTCAGCCATCATGTGTTCAAAAATACACCGATAGCTGCCTATAGATACAAATCTCTGTGTTTAGTTTTGATATTTTGCTTCATGCCGCTAGAAAAGTTCTAACTACTGCTTATCCAATCACAGGATGCGTTCATGTCAACTTTTGCGTGAGGCCAGCTAGCTGGCCTGAGCCAAGCTGACTCGTGAGCTGATTGGCTATCGCAACTGGATCGTCTCCGTTCACTTAGAGCGGACAGTGGGCTTCTCGGTTGATTCTGAAGGCCTAGAGCAGACTTAATCTGCCTGAAAACACAAGCTAGCTTAAATCTGATTGGATAACACCCAGCCTTGGTATTTTAACACTGGAAGCAGCGCAGCCAAGTGGGTATAATAGGATATAAAGAAAATAGACCAGTGAACATTTTTTTAATTTAAAAATATTTACCAAAGGAAAAAAAATACATTTACGTTTTTGAGTATGTTTAGGCCAGCAGAGAAGGCTTTGCTGGCCCTGACTGCCCACCACTGGATTTTAGCAAATCTTCATTGGCTCCCCATCCATCTCCGGATAGAGTTTAAGATCCTGGTTTTTGTGTTTAAATCCCTCAATAACTTAGCACCTGGCTACTTGTCTGAGCTCATTCACCCTTATGTCCCGACAAGATCCCTCCGATCAGCCAACCAGCACTTTCTCCATGTCCCTCGCTCCCGCTGTAAATCCCGCGGGGAGCGCGCCTTTTCAGTTTGTGCACCGAAGCTCTGGAACCACTTGCCCCTGCTGATCAGACTCTCTTCCTCTCTTCCCTTTTTAAGTCTCGCTTAAAAACTCACTTTTATTCGTTGGCTTTTAATTCAGTCTAACATATTTTTTCTCCCTTTCTTTTCGATTTGAATTACTCGATTTTAATTGGTTTAGTTTTTCTTTTTGATTGTTTTTGTGTTTTTGTTCAGCACTTTGGTCGGCTCTCATACCGTGTTTAAATGTGCTATACAAATAAACTTGGTATGGTATGTCTGCACCCTGGATGTTTACTGGTGAGGGGGTGTGTTTTTCTTGAAGTTAATCACAATTTAATCACTTCATAACTACTCATTTACACAAGGAATGCTAAACACAGCACTTTAATTAAAATGGTCTCGGAAGTGTTTTCAATTTTTTTTCATTCTCAGTACATAAATGTGACGTTTTCAGCTTCAAAATATTTCAGGTGAACTAATTTATGTATCTGACTTTGGTTACTTTGATATATTTCTCCAAATACAGCTGGTTTATGTACAATAGGACTACAAAGCCAGAAGAATAGCAACATTTCCAAAACATAAACCTCTTAATAGGATGTAGTCTTTATTTTTATTCTTACTGCCAGCTGTGACCAAGTCAATACCAGCCAAAATCCTCCAAGATCGTTTGTCCAAGTTAAAAACAATATCAGACACAACAGTATAAATATGAAACATCATGAATTAAGTGTATATACTGTACATTTATTTATATGTATATATACACAGACTGCAGACAGTTACAAAGTGAAGACTACCAAGGTACCCCCCTCAAATAAAAGCTCCAAGACTCAACTGTTTATTCACATTTAACAAGAATATCTAAAGATGCCATGAAACAGCAACTAGAATACAAAAATCACCAAAAATAGATATTATGTGGAGCTACCAGTTCTTTTCTTTTTTTTTTTATCTCATTTTCTTTTTAAATAAACCATGTGGACTGAAAAACATATACAACATCAAGTGTACATTGAAAAAGGCATATCCAGTAACCAGAGCATTTCTAAACATTGCACATAAAAAATATAGTGTAGATCAAGGAAGAGGGCATGCTGACCAGATCAGAGCTACGTTGGATGAAGTTATAAGGCCTAGACGAAACTTACCAACTCAGGACATGCGCCCTTTCACTTCACAGAACAATATGAACATGCAACCTTTGAAACAAACACATAGGAGCTGAATAGAACCAAAGGCCTTGTTTCACACATCAAACGGGTCCTTGTCTGTATGAATCACCTTCAGTCACATCTGATTAAAACGGAATTATACATTCTACTGTACAATATGCATATATATTTGAATTACCATTCCAAAGACACATATAAAACACCAGTCCATTTATTGCACACGTCAGTTCACAAAAAGGTTTTGGGCACTTTTGCGTTTCAACGAACAGCAGCATTTCATCGTAAAAAAGTTGAATACAGACAACGCACGACGGGATGGAGAGCATGGCATACAAATGGAGAATATAAAAATGTATTCTTTTTCTTTACTCTGACATTGTGCAAGTAGAGATAATAGGTCCATTTGCCAAGGCTCGCCTCAGAAATGCACAATATCATACAGTGTTGTAGGGGCACAACAACAGAACCCCTTTGCTGAACAGCGTGAACCACTCAGAATGATTATCTCCTTTTATCATGTGCAACTACTGATTGCCATGGCAAATACCCAATGAGACAGAGAACATTTGGTCCTGTATTACAAAGCTTGATTTGTACCCACATAAAAGGGCAAATGGCACAACTTTTTTTAAAAAGTGACTGAGAGGATGGCACTGGGCAACACCAGCTCTGGTTTGGAGCTCTTAGTGATGATCAGGAATTTTATACTCGATTCACAGCATTGTTCAGGTCAACATTTCCAATCGAGCTTGGGAGTGAGCTCGGATATCCTGCAGGAATAACCTCAAGTGCCATCTGATTGGACTACTGTCAGGGGCCTGAAAACTAACAACGAACAGAGACCATCAGTAGCATTCAACTGATGGGTGATCACCGTGGGTGCCATCTTCTCAGAATCCAGGCACAACAAGGTTTATGTTCTAAACTGCAGCCATGTTGGCACAACAAAGGGAAAGGTTTGATCCAGACAGCACAATAATGTAGAGGAATATGAAATGTAAAGAACAGCCGGCAATCAAACCATCAGGTCCTGCTTAACACACTTCAGGTTCTCCACAACTCACAGTATTTGGGTTCCTACATGGAGATGTTTCCACTGCTCTTTAAAGCAGTTTCATCACATTAACACCTTACAGCCTCATGACAACTTGGTTCTGATAATGGCCAACACAATAGAAACTACACACTCCAACCACTTTGAGTGGTCACACCAGTGCAACTGAGCTCAAGCACTGCAGAAATGTGACCTTTGTGACAAAAGGTCAACTTGTTCTATGAAGCTGAGCTGCATTATACTATATTTAGAATCACTGTCTGCAACAAAGACAAGCTGAGAATAAAACTGAAGGAGAAAACATCATCACTCCACATCATCCTTTAGCAAACAGCTGTTAAAAGCTCACAAACTGTTTTTTTTACTACATATTTGCACAAGAGTTCCTAAAAGTGAGTGCAGAGAGAAATAAAGTCACAGATCTTAAATGTGAAAGAGCCAAACAGTCTAGCTAAGCTGTATGATTAGTCACAGCAACAGTACTCGTGATAAATCGTTATGTACCTATAAGTAAAAGCATGTGAAATACTTAAGTTTACAATACAAACTGACTTAAAAACTGCTTTTTGTCAAGCTGGCTAAACTTCAGCTGGGATGAACTGCTACATGACCGTATTTTACAATCTGGGTATTTATGAACAACCTTCAACTGTTAACAGAACACATTTGGTTTTGTCATTGGTTGGAAATCAGAACAGTTGTGACCTAAAATATCACATTTTATCTTTGTGGAGAAACAAGGTTCAACTTCAAAACATTTCCTAAAAAATATTACAAAAAATGGTCAAAAATTTCTACGACACAAATATCTTTAGGGAATATGTTTTAACATATTTCAAGTTTTAAACATTTAAACATGAAATGCACTGTGTTCATATTGATCATAGAAATGTGAACACACACACACACACACACACACACACACACACACACCTGACAGCTCATATTTCACAACACCCAACACACAGCATTCATATAGAACTACAGTACAACCTATTGCAGTATAGATTATAACAACATGTAATAGCTTGCCAATAGCAATGGCACCAAAGGAATAACACAGTCTCTGACCATACAAACTAACATTATTCTACAAATTTCATACATTTCAGCTAAGTTTGCAAAGACTCGAGTTGCCACTTGACAAAGTCAAGTCCTTTCGCTTTTCATCATCTGATACAATAACCAATCACTTTTCTTATTAGTGAACTCTCAGGCACTTTCTAAAATTAGAGCAAGGCTTGGAATGGACAGACCTCCAATTGGCTAAGACAAAACAACTTTAGCTGCATTCAAGTCATATGGGACAAAAACAACCTCATAAATACTGTTGACTCACATTTCCAGGTAGTAATAATGCGCTTTGACCCAGCTGGTCTGACCTAATGAAATCTGGTGTTTCACATAACCCCAAATAAGTGCTTCTGTTTTGTTTGTAGAACAAAAGTCACAAAGTCAGCAGGAATCTCCGGAAATCTTTGATCCCTGCATCCTCACACTCCCACGTGATAGAGCTTCAACAAGTGCATGTGGTCTCCTTCAGCTGTCGAACCATTCCAGCAGGTGTTCCCATATGACAAGACTACACAGTAAGACAGGATGGACAGGCAGAAGACTTGGATCACTCTATGCTGATGGAAGCCACGTCCTTGGCCTGTGGATGCTGCTGCTCCTCCTCAAACACCTCTGGGGAACCGCCCCCGACACTGTTGTCCATCTTGGTCTCCTCAGTCATGGCTGCTGTCTCATCAGCATACATCTTGAGAGAGACAGGGGCTTCCAGAGGATCCAGGGGGTCGGGTGAAAGGAAGCCAGAAGAATTCTCACAGTTCTGGGTGGAAGAGGAGACCTGGGAGATGACAGACATCTGGACTGAGGAGGAGGACGAGGCGGCAGTGGTGGTGGAGGTGCTGCCGGGGTAGACCGGGTGATTGTGAGACTCCTCCAACTCATACTGAACTCCCAGCGCCTCCTCCTCCTCCTGTACCTGGCTCAGGTAGTCGGGCACGAGGAAATCACTGCAGAGACCAAGAGAACATGTAAGCAGACCGCTCTCTTAAACATGTCTCAACACAAGTCAGTTTTACTTGTGTACACAGGATTTTATGCTTTTTTAAACATGGCTTTTATCCAGTTTACGGTTTATCAGAGTCCATACTCCCCATTACCCAAAATGTGTTAGTAATCAATGTTTAATTGCTAAACTCTGTTGGCATAAAAAAAGCACAGACAGGCATAAAGCCTGAGGGGATCTGGTGATTAACTTGCTGCACTAGGCCAGCGGTTCTATCCTGGTCCTGGAGGGCCCGTTTCCAGCATGTTTTCATCTTTCCTCTGCTCCAACACACTTGATTCAGTGGTTGAATCACCTGTAGCTCATCAGGTTCTTCAGAAGCTTGTTAATCACCTGCCAATAAACAACTAAAGCATGCAGGATACTGGCTCTACAGGACTAGGATTCAGAATCCCTGCACTAAACAAACTGTTTCTACTTAAAGCTACAATGGCAAATCAGCAAATTAAGCTACCTTAAAACCTTTTTTCATGCCTCTTAACAACATTCTAACATAGTATAGCTATAAATAATAATAATAACAATAATAATAATAATAGTAATAGTTATAATAATAATGATAGGTTCTCTGGCATTTGTCTAAAAATCTCAGTCAACCAACGATTGGACCATCCGGATGTCTGTCTCACCAAACGTCCACTTTTACGGGAGGCATTCACTCATTATGTGCTTGCACATTTTACAACAGAACACCACTGGTGTGACAGGTTCTCCACTCAGTAATATCAGAGAAGAAGAAACAACCAGCTGCTACCACTTCTACTTTAGGACAAAGTACCAGAGTCCCAAAAAGAAAAACACCATTTGAAGTCACGGACAACAAAAGACATTTGCACCTAGAAAATGGTGACTGGTGTTTAGCGCTGTCTCATTTACCTTGGCGATGCAGGTTCTGGTATCAGACGGATGTGGCCTATGGATGACACCCAACAGGAAGGGTGAGAGTTCCGTGACCGTGTTTGTTTAAAAGCTAGCTTGATTTGTAGATTTGCTATTGCAGGATGTTAACCCCGATCTCTCAAAGACTCAGGCTGGACACTCGTACCACTAGGCCACTGAGCTAAAGAGTTGTCGTGAAATCGTTTAAACCGTTAGTAAAATTGACAACTTTGAATTTCTTGTTTTCAACTATTTTGTTAGAAATGACAGTTGTGGCTTTTCAGCTTCAAGTCATCAACAAGCTGCATGACTTACAGCTTGTTTGAATTGGTTATTATGGGTGGATCATTCAATCAGAATTAATAAGCATCATCTAGCATTAATGAGTTGTCATCTGGTACTTACACTCAGATGTTCAAACAAACACAAAGCTGAGAAACAGGCCCTCAGCAGTTCTGCTGATTCCAAACACATTCAGTGATCTGAGCCACAATACGTTTTGCTTGCAATGCAAGCCAGCTAGACCATTCTGGTAATTATTCCAGCCCCATCAACGCACTGCAAGGAAGACTTCACTCTTCTCCAGGGTATTGGATGCCCCATTGCTTGCAAAGATCCTTTCACAAGTCTGTAACCTGCATTGGGCATTCTGCCTTTTATAGATCAATTCAGCAGAGGTCCTCTGCTGATATATTTAGTTATTGTTGGACTGACCACTAAAATAACATAACAAGGGCTACATAAAAGGCTATTTCTGAAGAAAATGCAAACAACATATGCTAAAAATAAACATCAACTTCATCACAACTCCTGCCAACTCCGGAGCTACGTTACGTCCAAACAAAAACTAAAGATTTCCTTATGAACATGTTGAGTTCTACCAGGGCTAGACCCAGAGCTTTGGGACTTTGTTGCTGCTGAGATCAACACACAGACAAGCTGTGGTTTGGTGGTTCTTGGATTGTTTGCAAAGGCATTATATTCGTGTTTCACCATAACACCACTTCAACCAGCTCTAGCAAGATTCTGCCATGTCATTTGGTGGTTGGAAGCTGAAAAGCTTGGGAATCATTATACTGGTCAGCAATCCTCACAAAAAATGTTTATTCTGTAGACCACGCAAGCAAATAAAGCACTAGGTGATTATTTGATGTAGTCCTGGACATATTTATTTTACTGAATTTACAAAAACGGGAATATGTTTTCCAGACCACCTACAGATGTGACCTTGGCAACAGGCTCCTTTTATAAGAACAGCTGTCCGTTAACTGTGAAACAGCGGTTGATTCAAATTCAATTAAACCATAAAATCAACTTTTGCTATATGTGAAAGCAGGAGTTAGTTCAAAAGAAGAAACACAAAACTAAAGGAATATTATCAGATATGTGCTAGGGAGGCGTCCAGAAAGCATCCTAACCAGATGCCTGAGCCAACAGGGTGGGCTCAGCCATCCAGCAGAGAAAACCCATTTCAACACCCGCATCATGTTTATGTATTTAGCAGATGCTTTTGTCCAAAGCGACTTACAAGTGATAATCGGCATGTTGCCCTTGAGGCTAACAACAACAACAACCAATTTCCAGTCAGTCGTAGGTGGCAGTGAGGCAGCATGATGAATCATGAAGAGGAGGGAACAAGGAGTGGACAGTAGAGGGGGGGACGGGTGCAGGGAGGGTGCTAGTTTAGAAGATGCTCTCTGAAGAGCAGGGTCTTCTGGAGTTTCTTGAAAATGGAAAAGGAAGCCCCTGTTCTGGTAGTGCTTGGTAGGTCATTCCACATTTGTGGAACGATGCATGAGAAGAGTCTGGATTGTCCTGAGCGTGGTGTAGGCACTGCTAGCAGACGATCCTGTGATGACCGGAGCGGCCGGGCCGAGACGTAAGCCTTTGCAAGAGGATTCAGGTAGATGGGAGCAGTACCATCTTGGACTTTGTATGCTAGTGTTAGCAATTAGAATTTGATGCGTGCAGCTAGCGGTAGCCAGTGGAGCTCAATGAACAGACGGGTGATGTGTGCTCTTTTTGGCTGATTGAAGACCAGACGCGCTGCTGCGTTCTGGAACATTTGAAGAGGTCTCACAGTACAGGCTGGAAGACCAGATAGAAGGGCATTGCAGTAATCGAGGCGGGAGATGACAGTAGATTGCACCAGGAGCTGGGTGGCATGTTGTGTTAGGTATGGTCTGATCTTTCATATGTTATACAGCGTAAAGCGGCATGAACGAGCAACAGAGGCGACATGATCTTTAAAGGTCAGGTCAGGTGTTCATCAATCACAACACCCAGATTTCGAACTGCCTTTGAAGGAGCCAGAGATAGGGAGTCATTTTGGATTGAGATATTGTGCTGTATGGATGGTTTAGCTGGCCGATGCAGCACCAATTCGCCAATCAATCTCGCTCCCCATCCTTCTCTCACTCTTGAACAAGACCCCAAGAGCTAAAAGGTCTTTTCCATCGCCCAAACTGGCATGGAACGGGAAGGATTGGGTTGCTAATTTTTCTGTTCCGATTGTAAAACCGGTCCAGACAACCAACCCGAACCACGATAGTCACAGGACTATTTTGGCTCCCTTCTGTTGCAGGTCCTGAAATTTATGGAGCGGTACGGTTAGGGTGGAGCAGCAACACACTCCACTGATTGGTTGACAGAAATACGTCATTACTTTCAACCAGAAAAACAAAAGTTTCGTTGATTGTATTTTCATTAGCTGTACATGAGTGTGAAAAAATGTCAGCAAGTAGCAGCACCTTTTGGTCACCTTCAGAGCTCCATACATTTCTCACAGTCATCGTGAGAGTCCACGAGAGGAGCTGGACGGAGCAGTAGTTTTTCTCTCAGTGGATGGTAGCTGAAGGATCAGAGCGGACGCCGGCACAGTGTCGGGCTAAGATGAAGAAATTAAAGCCCAATATAGTTAATATTTAAGGACAGAAACAGCCGAAGTGGATTTATTTTTTTTTTTGGATGGGAGAAATACACAGAGTTGCTACGACGAGCTGGATGCTATTTATAGCTGAGGCAGCGAGGCAGACTTCTGGACTTAGCGACTGCACTCTGGAGTCACAACTGGAGGCTGTAGAAAGCATTGACAGGGTTTCCGCTATATGCATTTAGCCGTGGTGCGCCGCCACAGCAAAATAAAAGCTGCCACACCTTCAGAGGGATAAAAATATAAATACATAAAACGTATCTTATGAATTAATTTTGTGAATTAACTTTTTTAAAAACATTTGTAATGTCCAACATCTGGTCAAGAAGGAGACACGAGACTGCACGTAATCCCTTTAAACCAGCCCGCTTTCCTCACACCAGCTGGAGCAGAGCCTGCAGCTCTGACAGAGACAATGAAATCATAACAATAACATTCTCTCCTTCCAATGTTCCTTCACAGAGCAACTCTTTTATCTAAACTCCTTGCCTCACAGAAGAATAGAAGAAAAGAAGATTTTTAAAATTAAATATGAACTTCTGAAATTTACAAGAGATAATCATTAATAAACGTTACTTATAATAATTATAAAACAATGAAATGTTTCATTAATCTGTGCTTAATGTCTGTTAAGCATGTTTACTTGACAAGGTCATAACATTTGCACTCACACAAGCAAAGTAAGGTAAAAGTTAAACACATGACACATAATTAACCTTTTACCCAGATCAGCGCCTCCGTATCAAAGAGGGTGTGTTTCTGAGTTGTCTTGTTAACATCTAAACTTGTCAACTTTTGGTTGGCTACCCAACCATAACATGAGAACATTAAAACCAGATCACTCTGGTTATTAGGGCTGGGGGGTAAACGATTATTTTTAAAACGATTATTCTGATGATTATTTTATCGAATAGTCGACTATTCTAATGACTATTTAGACGATTAATCTAGCGGTTATTTTCTTACTGCACGATTAATAAAAACAAGAAAATCTCAAATAAATTTCTCAAAAAAATTGATAAATTGTTACTGTACGAGAATAAACACTACAGACCTTCCATTTTGTATAACACTGCTTTTATTGTGTTGGTTGGTTATGTTCTGGTGACGTGAAGAACTTGGGAGTGCAGGCT